GCCCCCTCCCTGTAGAACACAGCTCAGGGGGAGGGCAGGGTGCACCCTGCTCACTGCTATTTGGGGATGCCCCGGGGCTGGCCCTGAGGACCCCTGCTGCCGGGGGACACGTGCATGGGGGGAGCTGTCCCCGTCAGAGATGCTGGGACCGCCAGAAAATGTCCCAAACAAGACAGCGGGTCATCCTTGCTGCAGTGAAGGGTGGGGTGTGGCCCTCCAGGAGAGAGGGAGGTGTGGGCACGCGAGGGCTTGGGGCCCCAGGGAGCTAGGGACTGGGGACATCCTCTGGGCTGTGTCCACACACAGGGGCCTGACTCCCAGAAGGGTGGTTGTATAAGTAAGTGCACCACCCTGATTGGCTGGCTTGCACAAGTGCACTGCCCTGATTGGCTAGCTTGCACAAGTGCACCACTGTGATTGGCTGGCTGGCAGCAGCAGTTGTCATTGGTCGGGGGACTGGGTTCGAAACCGGTTCCGTAGCTATTTCTTCCCTCGGCTATTAGACAATGGGTCTCTTCCTACACTGATGGGAACTCTTTAGAGTTTTCAACATATTATCACAAAGCAAGTGAAAAGCTCCCCAAAAGGAAGAGAGGAAACCCCATGCTCCTGAATCAGCCCTCCAGGCCTGGGGGCCACCCTCAGCAGGTCTCCAACGCTGGACCTGGTGGCCGGTCCCCAGCCCAACAACGGCAGGACCCTGAGCAAGAGGGCAGAGGTCACGCACTGCGTCAAAACACCCAAATGTTGCTGACACCCTGCAAACCAAGGGTGGAATACCCTGGGCAAATGCTTCACACCAACAAAATAAAAATATATTGTAAAGCTGTGGTTTCTATATTACTGAGAGTTGGCAGATTATTAAAGGTGACCTCCGTGTGTATCCAAATGTCTGTTAGAGGGCCACCAGTGTTTAGATAAATAACAAAATACACATACTTCATACATTTCTGTATGCTTTTTTAAATAAAAATTATTTTATGTAAGTTAAATTGGCAATTCTCTTGTTATAATAAAACTTTTTATATAATTCGTGTTCTATTGCCAGTTGTGATATAAAAGGTTAAAAATAAAATTTCCACGGGGCGCAGTGGCTCACGCCTGTAATCCTAGCACTCTGGGAGGCCGAGGCGGGTAGATCACTCAGGGTCAGGAGTTTGAAACCAGACTGAGCAAGAATGAGATCCTGTCTTACTAAAAATAGAAAAGTTAATTGGCCAACTAAAAATATATAGAAAAAAATTAGCCGGGCATGGTGGCACACACCTGTAGTCCCAGCTACTCAGGAGGCTGAGGCAGGAGGATTGCTTTGAGCCCAGGAGTTAGACGTTGCTGTAAGCTAGGCTGACGCCACGGCACTCTAGCCCAGGCAACAGAGTGAGACTCTGTCTCAAAAATAAAATAAAATTTCTTTAAAATATACAAACTTTATTAGATTCTCATCAAAATGACACTTCAAGTGTAAATATCTGAAGAATTGAAATTATTTTCAAATCTGCTTTCCAAAAAGTTACTTTTCTTTTAAAACAATTAAAACTATTCAAATTAAAAGGAAAATCCACTCATAATCATAAATAGAATTTTATTTATTTTTTTCTTTTTTTTATTTCAGCATATTATGAGGGTACAAATGTTTAGGTAATGTATATTGCCTTTGCCCCACCCAAGTCAGAGCTTTAAGAGAGTCCCCAGACGGTGCATACCGTACCCATTAGGTGTGAATATAGCCATCCCTCCTCCCCCATCCCATCTGCCCAACATCCAATGAATGTTATTACTGTATGTGCACTTAAGTGTTGATCAGTTAATACCAATTTGATGGTGAGTACATGTGGTGCTTGTTTTTCCATTCTTGGGATACTTCACTTAGTAGAATGGGCTCCAGCTCTGTCCAGAATAATACAAGAGGTGCTAGATCACCATTGTTTTTTGTGGCTGAGTAGAACTCCATAGTATACATACGCCACATTTTATTAATTCACTCATGTATTGATGGGCACCTGGGTTGTTTCCACATCTTTGCAATTTTGAATTGTGCTGCTATAAACATTCGAGTGCAGGTGTCTTTTTTATAGAGTGTCTTATGTTCTTTGGGGTAGATGCCCAGTAGTGGAATTGCTGGATCAAAGGGTATTTCTACTTGTATCTCTTTGAGGTATCTCCATATTGCTTTCCACAGAGGTTGTACTAGTTTGCAGTCCCACCAGCAGTGTAGGAGTGCTTCTATCTCTCCACATCCACGCCAGCATTTATTGTTTTGGGGATTTTTTGATAAAGGCCATTCTCACTAGAGATAAATGATATCTCATTGTGGTCTTGATTTGCATTTCCCTGATGATTAGAGATGTTGAGCATTTTTTCATATGCTTGTAAGCCATTAGTCTATCTTTTGAAAAGTTTCTGTTCATGTCCTTTGCCCACTTGTTGATAGGGTTATTTGATTTCTTTCCTTGCTGATTTTCCTGAGTTCTATATAGATTCTAGTTATCAGCCCTTTATTGGATATTTAGCATGTGAATATTTTCTCCCATTCTGTAGGTTGCCTGTTTGCTCTCATGATAGTTTTCTTGGCTGTGCAGAAGCTTTTTAATTTGATCAGGTCCCATTTATTTATTTTTGTTGCTGCTGTGATTGCCTTTGGGGTCTTCTTCATAAATTCTTTGCCTAGGCCCATGTCTGTAAGAGTTTTTGCGGCATTTTCTTCTAGAATTCTTATAGTTTCACACCTTAGGTTTAGGTGTATTATCCAGTGTGAGTTGATTTTTGTGAGAGGTGAAAGGTGCAAAATTAAGCAATGCTGATTTTGTTTTCTTTTTGCATTTTTAAAAAAATCTTAGTAAGTAATTTTATGAAAGTAAAACTATTCTCAGGCCGGGCACAGTGGCTCACACCTGTAACCCTAGCACTTTGGGAGGCCGAGGTGGGCAGATTGCTCAAGGTCAGGAGTTCAAAACCAGCCTGAGCAAGAGTGAGACCCTGTCTCTACTATAAATAGAAAGAAATCAAGTGGACAACTAATATATATATAAAAACTTAGCCGGGCATGGTGGCGCATGCCTGTAGTCCCAGCTACTCCGGAGGCTGAGGCAGGAGGATCGCTTGAGCCCAGGAGTTTGAGGTTGCTGTGAGCTAGGCTGACGCCACGGCACTCACTCTAGCCTGGGCAACAGAGTGAGACTCTGTCTCAAAAAAAAAACTATTCTCAAGTCTAGCATTTGGGTCCATCCGGCTGCCAACATAGAGAATTATCATATCTCACACATCTCGTGTGGAGGCCTCCATGTCTACAAACTTAGCAGTAAAATGCATTGTCTGAAGTTGCAAACTGAAGATACTCGCCAGGTGCAAAGGGACTGGGAAGAGAAGCATGAAAATAGACACCTGGCACCACTGAGAACTGACACTTTTCATCACAAGACTCTGTGGAGGGAGGGCTTGGCGAGTTAATTAACTCACCCTTCCCCTTCTGTGAGCGTCTCTCTGCTCAGGACTCCCCGCACTCTGCCACACTGCCCCTCAACGATCTGGACAGCAGCGGAGCCCCCCCAGCCTTCCTGGCATCTGGTCACCGTTGCCTTTTGTTTCCAGGGCATAACCAGAGGTGTGAAACACAGTCGGTTCTCGTCTGTGGCAGTCGTGCTTCATAAAGTCATTGCAAACACACAGAAGTAGTGAACACCGAGCCATTGCTCCTGTGGGAAATATGCAGTCGGGTCCGTGTGAGACCCCGGTCACATCTTCATCCAGCAATCGATACCTGACCTTGCTTTGTGTGTGCTTCTGTTTAAAGACGGCTTTACTTAAAATGCAGTCACATCGGACTCACAGCATTCGCTCACAGTGAATAGCACGATTACAGTGACTCGTTCCTGAATGAAGCTTTTCTAACACAATTGTTTTCTGCGTCAGGCACACAACACCCTCTTTTGCCTGGGAACAATGGACAGCACCTCAGCACTGTGTCCAGGGACCAGTTTAAACACCCAGATTACCAGCGGAAAGCACAAAAATGCAAAAAAAAAAAAAAAAAGTGGCAGTACATAAGTACATAGACCACGTACAGGACGCTTGTTCACAGAATGAGAACTGAAATGGGAACAAGCAAAGGGCATCGCCTTGTTCAACCTGAGCGGGGAATGCACGTCAGGTGAAGCAAATGTGGCTGATCTGTTCATGTCTGAGAACAACTATCGATACGAGAGTCCCCCTACAAGCGTGGAGTTGACGATTGCAAATTAATTTTAACAAGCACACACGTCTGCAAATACACAGTCCACAAATAAAGAAGATCGACTCTATTTCCTTGAGCAGTGTCGAGCAAGAGAGCAAACGTTTAAGGTTACAGGTTGTAATGATTATCACCAGAGCCGAGCAACAGTTGCTGAGCGAAAGAGGTTCTGGACCAAATGCATGTGTGTGCTACACACATGTGTGTGCACGTGTATGTGAGTTCACATGTGCATGTCACATGTGCGCATGAGTGTGTACACGCATGTGATATTTGGGCTTTCTGAAACTCAGTGTTCAGAACGGGGACCCCTCTTGCCTCAGGTAAGAGCTGGGTTGTTCCATGTTTCAAATTTCAAATGTTAGCAAAAGATGAGTTGGTTCTTTCCCCATTTTTGACCATCAGGGGCAGCGTTCCAAATAAACTTGGCCATCGGGGCTCCTAGTTCTCTAAAATGAAGCAAGACTATGCAGGTAGCCACCCCGGAGGTGTTCTGTTTACTCTCTTAGGTCTTTATCATGCTTTTTCAAACCTATTGGGAAAGGGGGATGGGATGAGAGAAGCGACAGTGAGAGATGGGTGCTGGAAAGGGTCGAACGTGCTCAAAAGTGAGAGGTTGGGAGATGGATGTCCACAAAGAGTAGGAACCAGAGAAATAGCCCCAACCCCACCACTGTGGGACACTGTGTGCCAACATTTCATCTATATAACCTTACAAATGTAAAACACCTCCTGTTAATAATGATCCCAAATAATTTAATATCGATTCTAGGTCTGGTCCATGGACACACTCGTAAATCTCTCCCAACCACACCTGAGGCTCAGAACATCGACCAGATACCTCTCGGCGAGAATCAGCACAAAAGCACTGCTCCACCTGACTTCTGAAATATCAAGCACTGGCAGGTATTATCCTTAGTATCAAAGATATGCATTTTTCTGTGAAATTCTGACTAATTCCAAACACTTGTCTCATGCTCTGTATTAAATTGGGGCCAACTTCTGGGAAGTCATTTCTGCTGGGCTCCCCACCTCCCAGTAAGGAGATCCTCTCTCTCATGGGCACCCCCATCCCAGGAGTGTGGGGTGGGCTTGTTCCCAAGGCCCATACCCAAACACTGGGACACACAGGTGGATGTGGCCCTGCCTTGGGCTGCCGGTTGGACCCTGTTGTCTGTCTGGTTCAGGATGGGGCAAGCGACTCAAGCAGGACCAGTGAAAACCAGCCACAGAATCTGAGGTGACAATGCCAAGAATGAACGGCTCTATTTTGGCTTGCAACCTGCAATGATGTGTACTTAGTGTGACATCCCTGTCTTTCTATGCAAGAGTGAAGGGGCAGCACACGACAGGGACTGGAGCCTGGAGGACAGGACAGAGCTGTAACCACACCCAGATCCAGATGGGCTCCTCTCAGGACCTCCTGGACTGCCCAGTTACGTGGGCCAAGAAAACTGACAAGCCGCCACCACCAAGCTCTCATTGATTCCATTTACACTGGGTCTCTATAATTTTTTTAACATGGGCAGCCCTTAATAATACGCAGCAATGTGCTTTTCACCCTTCCGAATTTCCTTTCTTGGTGCATGTCTGATAGAGACAAGCTGTGCTGCGTGTTACGTGATCAATAAATCACTTACACATATGTGTAAGTTAACACATAATGTAACTTCTTATGATGCTTTAAAATGAAATACTTATAAAGATTTCAACATGTGTTACACATAGAACAACCATGTAAAATATTTTAAATATCTTTGCATGTGTAATTTGATTGCTTGCTCTAAAAACCGAGTGAGTGCACAACCTAAGGAACAGATGATGTGTGGTGCTTTATTTCAAAAACTATGCAATTCCAAGTCATTAAGGAAATGCCTAAACATATAATTAGCACCTGTTTTGTTGTTGTTGTTGTTGTTGTTGTTGTTGTTTAGCGGGGTGTCATTTCTTCGAAATTCCGCTACCAAACTGGCTAACTGTAAATACAGAGAAAAAACATCATGGAGAAATGCATTTCTATGAAAAAGATATGCATTTTGTTTTAATTAAAACAAAAATATATGGAACATATGCATCACAAGGAAATCATGAGATATGGCACGACAATAGTGAACATAAAATTGAGTGGACTCTCACTATCTTAACTGGCATGTTCAGGTGCACATGAGCCAAAACAACTCTTTGTGCAGAAAAAAATTCCTCCTTTACTTTCCTATGGTCTGAGAGAACGTGCTAGGCAACCCTTTCCACGGGCTAGCCGATTTCCCAGAAGCAATCGATCAATAGTGATCTAAGGACCGCCATCTCATTCTAGATACTGCATTTATGAAAATACTAAGGTTGACTTTGGATCACCAGTCCTGCTACCCAACAGAAGGAGGCGTCCCTGTGTGAACCGCGGTGGCTGGTGCATGCAGAAATATATGAGGGCTCCGATTCAAAGTAGCTGCCTCGTGGCGTCCGTCGTAACAGATTATCTCCCATCACACGGGCTGCTTCAGAGGATGGAAGGGGCCATTCATAAATTCCCATCTGCATTGGGGGCCCCTCCGGATCCCGGGGTGGTTAGATACATCGTACCGTTATCATTCTCGCAGCACGGAACGTATCTATTGCCGAACTGAAACAAGGTTTCCGTTCCTGGAGTGCGCTGTGAATCATCTGAAGCTCTTTAGAGTCTATTCTGATGCACTTTGTATTTTATCATTTGCCAAACATACACTCCCTTTCATGTGGTGAATTTTATTTTTTTAAATCTCTCGAGTGGTTTTACCCTGTCTTCTGCATCCCCTTGAAGTAAAAATAGTGGCATGGGTTGCTCTTGGGCGAGCTTGCGTTTTCAACATGCCTGTAAGATAAATGCGGTCTTGTTTTCTGATCTGCCTCGGAGATCTGTGAGCAATTCACGCTGTGTACGTAGAATATCGGTTGATGACTTATTCTGCAAATTATGATTATTTAAACGGGCTAAATTGCAAGTGTTATAAAAAAATTTGAAAGATGAACAAAGTAAATGCTGGAAAGAAGACCACAGTCCTGAACAAAAATGACAGCCTTTCATTACACTCACACAGCCATGTCACTTCTTTCTTTATACATACGAGTGACAGGCTGGATCATACAGTGTCTCAAACCACCGTCGCTGAGAATAAAACATTCTCAGCCAAAGAGTCTTCCCGATACAAAAGGTTATTTTCTGGACATTCCTTGAATGGCCAGTGTTTCATTCCAAAGTGATTACACTGAAGCGTTGTCATTTAATAGAAATGTGAGGTGGCCCGACGTCTAACTGGTTGTTTATTTCAATTCTGCTGAAGTATTTTATCAGATTCCTTCCCCTCCCCCCCAAAAAAAAGCTTAGAGTCACCTGTTTTGAAACTCTGTTGAGTCCAGCAACATCTCCCTGCCCCTCCCACCACATGACCATAACTCCGTCTTACGCAAAAAAACACCAGCACATTTCCCCTTCTAGAGAAAAACAAGTATTTAATTTTTCCTGAGCAAAAGAAAAAAAAATGTTAATTAACTATCAGCAAAGATGAGTGAAAGAGAGCCCCTGCCTGCCCAGCGTGCACAATTGCCTAAAAACAGAGTGTGCGGATGTTCACAGTCACAACACCCAGGAGAGGACTGGCTGGGAGATGCCAAGTGCCCAAACCAGCCCACAGAAGGAGGCCCAGGTCTGTCCGAGCCCCCAGGAGAGGAGGCTGGGGAGAGACGGGCTGTGAAATGGTCCTCGAGGAAAAGTCCGGGCCTGAGAGGCCAGCTCCCTGCGTGTCCAGGTGAGCACCTGTGCAGGTGAGAGAGGGAGGGAGGGCAGGAGGTCTGTGAAAGAGCATCACTGGAGCCTGCGTGGCTGGCAGGGAAGCGCAGCGGCAGGAGGCAGAGCGGAGAGACAGAAGGTGGCCGCGGGCAGACAGCTCCGGCCACAGGGTGTGTCCACACAGGTGTGCCAGGGGCTCTGCAAGTCTTGGGGACACGGAGAGCAACATCCGGATGTCATCAGCAGGAGCTCGGAGCCCAGCGGGTGCGGCAGGTACCCAAGGGCAGGACAGCGTGTCCAGGGGCTACGCAGCTCCAGGACTTGCTGAGCGGAGCCACGACTCTCAAACAGACGGACGGGAGCTGTCCTTAACCACTTCGGTACGAGCGTCGACTGTAGCCGACAGCCACAGGTGAACGCGCACAGCCCAGCGGCGACGGTAGCCGACAGCCATGATGTGAAGGTGCACAGCCGAGTGTAGACTTTATAATTTTGAATTGACTTTTCTGATTTTTTTTCATGTATCAAAATAAAACTGTGGACATTTAAAAATAAGGCCATGAAAACATATATGTCACCTATTCTGATTTACGTTCAAGTAAAGCTGCCTGTAAAGTGAAACAAGCTCTCAGGGCTTTCAAGCTTGTCTCATCACACAAGAGCAAGACGGACCCGTTGTCCATGCACAGCACAAGCTGCCGTGCGGACTGTGAGTGCCGGCTGCGGGGGAGGCTTCGTGGCCGGTGAGCCCCGCACCGAAGTGGTTAAAGCATCCATAGGGGGGGTCACCTTGCAGAGAAGGGCAGAAGGCGCTCTGGGAACAGTGGCTTTCGGGAGCAAGTGAGGAGAGGGGGTGTCACAGATGCTCATTGCACATCTGCCCACACCTGGTCCACCAGTCATCTCCTTGAGTCCCCGAACAATACGGAAAGGTGATTTAAAAAAAAAAAAATGAATAATTAAACCTAACGTCAGACTGGATACATCATAATTTGCAAAGGTTGCACAGCCAGGGTTTAAACCCACGTCATCTCTTACCTAAGTTCTGTCACCTACGTGCTGTGTGACACCAGACACCAGTCTCACCTCGCCCCATGCCTCAGTTTCCCCATCTCCAAAAATAGATTCATTGTTTGTACTTTCCTCCTGTGGGTTTCCCTGAGGTTGAGCAAATCATTGCAGGGGAAAGTCTCTGAACACTTCCCGGCACACGTGTGAGAATCATACGTGGTGTCAAATGATCACAGTGTGGACCGCACACCGTGTCTACTGCACCAAGTCCACCAGGGGAAGAGCTCGGAGCTGTGCAGCAGCTCACCGTGTCCAGAGAACACAGGCCAGCGTGAGGCGGGGGAGCCAGGGAGGGAGGGTGAACCATGCAATTTATAGCAGAGCCGCCACCTGCCTCTGAGTAGCCTGACCTGCATGGCGGGAGGTTAGAAACAGGTCTTGGGTCTCCAAATTCCCAGGCAGGGAGGAGAACTCTGTGTTCCCATGCTAAATTCTCATGCCACGAGAAGTGTGGTTGCCAGGCAGAAAGCACCTGTGTGTGCTGTTCCCTCTCTGAGCCTTGGCAAAACACACACACACACGAAGCAGTAAACCGGTGGCCGTTCGCCGGAAAGGCTTTGTGTCTAAATTATAGCTCCTCCGTGTTTGTTGCATGTGCCTCCCTGGAAAGATGAAAGGTTGTGTTCTCAAGCCTCGCTTAACAAGGCAAAACAATCTGCAGCTCGTCCAGATATTTGTGTTTCTGTTTTGTGTTGGGCACTGTGAGCCTCACAATCCTGCCCTTTTTTTTTGTTGTTGTTCTGTCGTTCATTTGCATTTTCTTTATTAGCCCTTCATGCTGAGCACAGCGTGGGAGGGAGTCAGAGGCTGGCCCTGCAGCCCCTGGGAAGGCCCAGACAGTCCCAGGAGGGCGGCAGGAAGGTCACAGAGCTCCCACCTCCCTCTGGTGGCCCGGCGTGCCGGCCCACGTTTGCAAGAGGAGACCTTCAAGGGCCAGAGACGGCAAGCAAAACCACTCAAGTTGAATTATTTATGAAACAACACTCAACGCAAGAAGAAATCAATGTATCACATAGTTCTGCCTGCTCTGTGGCTTTTGCTTCTAAAATGACGTAAAGGAAAATGATTTGGCGAGCCGCCATCTTCCTCCTAAAGGAGTCTGCCACGAAGAGTGAGGGTCACGGTTTGCATGGTTCCAAGGCTTTTCACAAGCGACGTGGGCCGAGTCCGTCAGGACTCAAGCTCGGATTCCGCACACCCTGTGCTTCGCGCGTGTTGAACCAGCGTGCTGCTCACCGGGCCCCGGGCTGGAGTTTGCCGGGACCGGGCGCTCTTCGGAGCTTTCCCGTGAGTGACTTCGGTGGGAGCTCACGTGAGCCGACAGGGAGCTGCTCTCGTGGGCAGCGGGGCCTGAACTCAAGCCCAGACCGCCGTCCGAGGGGCTCTGCTTCACCACCCAGGTACGTGGCCCCACAGTTGGACAAAGGTGTCCACCACGGCCGGCGGAAGGCTCTGGTTGGCTTTCAGTCCGTCAGAAATAATTTCTAAGGCTACGAAAGGGAAGGAGGGGAACTACAGATTACAGGAGACTCAAAGATACGCCAAAACTTTAAAAGGAACAAACAAACAAATAAAAAACAGCGTGGAGGAGGCAAGCCTGAACAATCGTGTCTCAAGCTGCGGTCCAGACGATAACATTAATTTTTTTAAAAGCCCACGGAAAGTGATCTTTCGTAAATCAGGATCATGACTACGTGCAGGGGAAGGAGGCAGCTGTGCTGGGATATCAGGGACACGGCCGGCGACAGGCTTCCCCGGCACAGTGGCCACATTCTCATCGTGGCACGAGGCCGCTTGCCCTGGGGGCCATTCATGAGTCTGCATGTCCATCCGTGTGTTTTGCTGCGCTTTTATTTTACGGCAAAGTGATTTTTAGAAAATAGGGGCGGGGTCTTGCTGACCTGTGCAAACTTCTCAGACTCACCGTACATTTCCCCTGAAGCCATGCAGCCTGTCGGAACCTGGGCAGCACCTGTCCGACCTTTCTTTTCTCACCTGCATCCTGACAACATCTCCTGGGTGGCGGCCCCACACCCAGGTGGGCATTGGCTCTCCTTTTTCTCCCGAAATCAGGACCACAGCACCGCTGGGTCTTGCACAAAATGTTTTCCGTTGCGTTGTGAAAATCAGAACTTCAGGTGTTTTGTTTTTGTTTTTGTTTTTTTTTCCCCTCTTTTGCCTGGACGCTTCCAGATTCTCCCAGGGAAAGGTGAACTCTGGCTACAACCACGGGATGTTTATTTCCTGGGGCCAGTGGAGAGCACACACTTGTTTCTCAGTGTCCCTGGGTCCTTGTGGCCGCGGTTTGCGTGCGCTGGCCTGCTCCTCTGCCCCCAGCCTCAGCCCTGCCCGGTTGTCCTCGTACCCGGACTCTCCCAGTGCCAATCCCCAGGGTGCATATTCTGACGGGGTCCTGCGCCTGTCCCCTGGCTGGACGTCCTGATGGACGCCATGTCCCCAAAGCCCCCACCCTGACACCTTATGCAAGCCCAACCCTGCCCCTCAGGGTCCTGCAAGCTCAGCCCCACAGCCCGGGGCCCCAGATCACAGCAGCGTGAGGATTAAAGAAAGGACACTTTTCCTAGTTGGCAGCGGGCAGGCGTGGGACATTTGTCTTTTAAATAAAAGGATGCCAAATTATCCCGAGTCACGTTGGATGACAGTTCAAGGGCGCATATGATCAGTGAAAGCTTGCGGAGAACTGAAAAATTGAAAAGAGACACCCTGGCCTGTAGCTTTGCCAGCGAGAGCGCCGTGGGTTAAGGCATCGCCGTGAACTGCCTGCGGCCATCACTCGCGACCCCCGGGCCGGGTAATAATGATTATGCGTGGCGGTGACGTCAGACCAGCTTCATCGCCAAGGGTGATCACGGCCGAGGACTCTTGTGTTTACTGCGCGGAGAGCAGGGGCCGCCTGCCCGGGACGCAGGGGCACCTGCTAACGAGGTCGAGAAAAATGGAGGGACGTCGCCGGGAGCCAGGGCAATTTTCCGAACGTGGCAAGTGGAGAAATTGGGGCACGGAGAGGCTGAGATGGCTTCCCGGGGGTCACGCGAGGCTTTGCCTTACAAATGGAGCCTTCACTGCAGAGCACATTACGACAGAGCGAGGCTGTGCTCGCCTGCCTCCCGAGCTTCACCCCATGACCGCCCTCCCCGCGGGGCGCTGAGCTCCCTGCCATCGCTCTTTCCTTCCTTTGCTTCCCGGGGTTCGTTTCCAACTCTCCTGGCTCTGTGAGGACTGAATGGTCTCTTTTTTCCTGATTCTAATCGCCTGCCTTAGAAATAACGTTTTATTTTCTTAACGGCAGTGTGCCGCTTTCTTGCACAAACGTAGCCCAGTTTTGTCTCTCAGTCCACATTTTCCTCTTCCTCTGGGCGGAACTTTCTTCCTACCCACGTGCGCGAGCCCACGCCTGGGTGAGCAGTCTCTGTACATACGGATCCGGGGTGCTTCTCTAACGCAGCCGTGAAGATGGACTCAAGTGGGGATCGATTAAAGGAGAGAATGGGAGTAGATGGTTGCTTCGGTGGCCATTCGACCTGCCAAAATACATACCTTTAAACACAGGCACCTGACCGCATAGAAGTAATGAGACGTGGGGGTTTATGTCCCATTCAAGAGCGATAAGATTTACTCTGGCATTATTTAAGGAAATTGTGTGTCTGTCTATCCATTGGCCCAGCAATTCAGCCCCCAAACGCATGCCGGAAAAAAAAAAAATTGACATAGCTATAAGAGGAGATTGTATAAAATTATTCAAGGAAGCATTGTTTGTAAGAGTAAAGAGTGGAAACATCTTAAATATCGAAAAAAAGAAAACAACAAAGGAAAATAAAATCTGGTATGGACATATAAGAATCTACTACGGAGCAGTCTAAAAGGACAAATGCTATGTGTGCTCGTTCAGGATGAGACGGGGATGTGGATTGACCTTAAAAGCCTTGAGGAGAAACCCAGCGAAGAACTGTTGGCACCTGCCGAGGCAGCAGGCCCTCCCCAGGGCCGGACTCCCAGGACAGTCCACTCACCTGGCAGCCACGGGGAGGGCTCTGCTCCTGCAGATCGGGGCTGGGGCAAGAGCCGGGGTCCTCCAGCCCGGCCACCCGTGGACCCTCCTCCCTGCCGTGAGCAAGGAGGACACTCGGCAGGTGGGGGACGGGATGTGCCGGCTTGTGAGCTGCCGTCTCCGGGCTTGGCAGACAGGCAGACCCAGGCAAGGACCACCGTGGAGCTCCTCGCACTGAAGGGAGGAAAGGGCACCCTCAGGCCAGTCAGCGGCCAACTCAGGGCAGCGTGGAAGCAGGAAGGCATTCTGGAAGTTTCCAAAGAGACCGGCTCCCTTATCCCGGGAGCCGACTTGTCTGGACACCAGGCCGGGGATCTGATTCGTGAGAGGGTCTGGGGACTGGAGCCACCGTTGCGTCAGTGACTCGAGACTCAAAGGTCAGGCCGGGCGCCGGGCGCGGTGGCTCACGCCTGTAATCCTAGCACTCTGGGAGGCCAAGGCGGGAGGATCGTTTGAGTTCAGGAGTTCGAGACCAGCCTGAGCAAGAGCGAGACCCCAGTCTTCACTAAAAATAGAAAGAAATTAGCTGGACAACTAAAAACAAATAGCAAAACTTAGCCGGGCATGGTGGTGCATGCCTGTAGTCCCAGCTACTCGGGAGGCTGAGGCAGGAGGATCGAGTGAGCCCAGGAGATGGAGGTTGCTGTGAGCTAAACTGATGCCACGGCACTCACTCTATTCCGGGCGACAGAGTGAGAGGAGTTACAAGGACTCGTGCAGTTGGTGGATCTGTGGAGCGGAAGTCCAGACTAGTGAAGCTGAGGTGCCAGCATTGCCCTGGGGTGCTGTGGAGGGTGGTCTCTCTAGGATTAGGGAGATTGGAACGTTACAGCGGGCCCATCACAGAAGGTCCGTTCACCCCCGGGGAAGGTCCAGAGGAGGCACCTTCCATCTCGTCCCTGGGAAATAAACTTGCGCAGGGACCCCCAAGTCCCTGAGGAGCTGTGCAGCTGCTATTCTCTGCAGGTCGGAGATTACGGTGGGCATGGCTGCCGCCGGACAGGGACCCTCGCGTGCGACAGAGGCAGCGACTGTCACTCGACTGCCCGGCCACGGGGGTGTGGTGACTAAAACAACCGGAGCAGTCTGAGTGTGGTCGGTCTACGGCATTGTGGTTGACTGTGGGGTTCCTGGGAGAGAAATAGAGGCACCAAAGTCTTAACTTGCTCCTTTCCAGCGGGAGTGCTCTGGGGCAAGCAAACAGGAGTCTCACTGGGATGGCACAAACGGAGCCTCAGCCTCTCAGTCAGTCCCAGACGCGAGCTCGTTTACAATCCCGGACCCTTCCAGTGACCGGGAGGAGGCTGGGCCAGGTGAGGAGAGAACTCCAGTACGCTGCCAAAAGTGTACGTTGTCACTCTTTCTCCCAGACTTTTCCAGAGGTGGCCGTGCATTGAGGAAAAGGAAATGATCAGGCATCTCAGAGATTACCGGACACTGGCTCTGATCGGGCGCTAATTCCAGAAGACACAAAACGCCACCCTTGTGCCCTGGTGAGAGCAGGGGCTGGTGGGGGTCCGTGGGGTTTAGCTCAGGCCCGTCTCCCAGGGGGTCCTGGGGGGTGTGCGGGAGCCCCCGGTGGGTCACATCCCTGGGTCCAGGATGCGTAACTGCAATAGGCAGCGTCCCCACCAAGGGCGTCCTGACCTTGGGGCTAAGAATGGGAAAGACCTTCATCCTAGTATGATGGGAAGGACCAAGCAGAAACCACTAGAACTTTCTCCAACTCACACGAAATACAGTAGACCAAAAGCAACATTGAATTCCTGCAAGGACCGACAAGTAAATTAGTCCCACCAAGGACTTAAATTAGGTAAGGGTGGCATTCCCACCACCGCCTGGTTCAACTCTCCACTATGAACACCTGCAGCCTCTGCCGGTCTTGGGCAGCCCCACCTTCCAGTAAGGACCCAGCACCTGTGGGTTGTGGGAGAGGGGTGGTGAGCGAGTGTCACCTGCTCCCCATTCTGCTGTCCCTGAAATGTGCTCGCTGCTTCCCGCCTGTGGGACCTGCCCCCCAAGACTGCTCACATGAGGACCGGGTGCTCACTTTCCCACTCCCCTTCCCGCATTTCCGGGACTCACGGCCACCAAAACCAACCACACGAACCCATTCCTCTGCTCGGGGTCTTTTCCCAGGAGAATTCAAGGTAAGAGGGTTTTTATAGGGTGCGTTTGAAAAACAGATTGCTCGGGACTGTGGTTGCCCATGGGGTGGGGTGCTAGGCCCGGACACGGGCGGGGAGGGGGCCGCAGGGTTAACTCACAAAGCGGCTGAGAAAACCCCGGGTCAGAGGCCAAGCTGGTTCCATGCGGCCCCTTCCGCTCCACGCTCCACGGTTCTGCCTGCACCCGGCTGACAGCCCTGTCCCATCAGACCCACCCCTCGCTGCTCTGCCCTCTCTTCTCTCCACCCCTAACCTCCGCTCTAACCCCTGTGACCCCCCCTTTCCACTTCCCCCAGGGCCACCGCCAGGACACATTCTCCACCTGCGTTAGGGTGAAGAACCGGCTCACACGTACCAACCTGCCAGCGTCGCGGAAGGGATTATTATCCTCACTTTACAGGGAGGAAAACGAGGCGTGAGGAGAGAGGCAGCCAGTTAGTGGGAGTGCCCAGGGTCTCAAATGCTTTTTAAATGAAAAATGAACGTGCAGCTCTCTCCAATGTGACAGAAAGATCCCGCTCAGAAGGTGTGAAATCCCACTAATCAATAACATTTTTTTTTCAATTGAATTAACTGGCAATTGATAATAGAATATAAACAAAGCTTATGAATTTGGTTAAAACCTTTATTCATGGTCAGTTAGGTGAAAAGAAGAGGGTTGTTTGTTTTCTAGAAATGTCCAAATGGTTAAGCCAAATTATCATTAATTATTTTAAGTCAATGCTAAAGTCTTATTAGTTCAATTTTTTGCACCACCAAGGGCCATGCTGGACATATAAAAGTTTATAAGAGAGCCTATGTGCACCTTGTCATCTGGGAACAATTTGGAGTCTCATAGAGTCTAAAATTCGCTGTTTAGACCCCTAAGACTGTACAGTGCTAACATGCTAAACTTCTCCTTCCTCAAACTTTCACTAAACAAGGCAATTATTTTTCAGTGACTACTAACCCAAGTTTGATCTATGATGTTGAAATTTCCTGGAAAGTGTTCAAGATACATATGTATAATATTAGCAGAGATGATTATCTGCTAAATTAGGAAGTTGTCTTGCGCAAGTCGATTTATGTAAGCATGCTACTTGCTTTCGGGAACTGAAAGTGTGAAGTTGACATCTTAAAATATATATATATATTTGCCAAACCAGGACAAGAAAGCTAAGATTGAAAGAAATAATGTCTAATCTCCTTTTTACGGTGGTAAAATATATATGACATAAAATTCACCATCATAACCATTTTAAGTATATCTTTCTGTGGCATTAAGAATAGTCACACTGCTGAGCAACCATGGCCACCACCCGTCTCCAGAGATTTCTCATCTTGCAAAACTGAAACTCTGTCCCCATGAACCACCAACTCCCCATTTCTCCCCCCCCAGCTTTCATAACCACCACTCTGCTCTGTCTTCCGTGATGTTTAACTACTCTAGGCACCTCGTCTAAGTGGAATCACACAACGTCTGTCCTTCTTCCTCTGGTGTATTTCACACTGATGAAACAATGTCCCCAAGGTGCATCCCTGCCAATGAACCTCTTATACACGTTTATGTGGCTAGCAATGGCCCTTGGTCATGCGTAACATCGATATTTGGTTGAATAAACGATTGAATGTCCTTTGGAAGTCACTCGCAGGTGGATTAGTCTCGAAGACACGTCATATTCACTCTTGCAAGGATTTTCTGAAGCCGTGTGACCCTTGGTTCCGTGCCGCGACAATGGCATTACAAGGCACTTGGACCCCAAGCCAGTTTGACTCCAAGTCGACTTCCTTCATTTTTAAGACTGAACAATACTCCATGGTGTGTGTAGACCACGTTGTGTTCATTCATCCGTGCGTAGTGGGTGGTGGGCTGGGTTCCACCTCTTGGCCGCTGTGATGCGGCCGCTATGGGCATGCACACACAGATGTCTGTTCCGGTCTCTGCTCTCGATTCCTCTGGGTGCACGAGGGCTGTCCGGAAAGTACCCAGCCACTGTCCACGCAATGTTTCATACCGCACGGCTGGATTCTCTCCAGGCAGCCCCCACATATGCAGAAGTGGAATTGCTGCATCACGTGGTCATTCTGTTTCTAGTTGTTTCCGAGGAGCTGCAGTGCAGTTTCCCATAGTGGCAGCGCCATTTACACTCCCACAACCCACACGCCGGGTCCCGGCACTTGCTGTTTCCCAGGTTTCCGTCTGTCTGTTTGTTGTAGCAGTGACCCCTGCCCCCCGTGTGTGTGTGTAACGGCATCTCACCGTGGCTTTGAGATTTGACTCCCCTGAGGATTAGGTGGCCGGTGTCTCCTCATGGGCTCCCTGGCCATTTGCAGAAGTGTCCACTCGGGTCCTTTGCTCGTCTTTCAATCGAGTTATTTGCTTTTTTGTTGTTGAGTTAATGCCGTTAATCTCTCAACATACATCAAGAATCTATTATAACATTCTAAGGACTCAAAAGATGTTTATTTTTTTAAAAAAATCTCTCAAAAAATCTTAGCAATGAGTATGAATTATGAAAACTTACCTTTCTACACTGATAATTATGTAACTTCAGGCAAGTTCAAATGAAGTAGACTCAGATTTAAGGGGTTTCTTTTAAGACCCGTTGGCCAAGAGGGGTCCATTCAGTGGCTGGCGGGGAGCTTGAGATTTTATTTTAGTTCAAGAGAGGGAGGGAATAGTTTAAGAATTGGCTCAAGAGATTGTGGAGGTTGAGCACGTCCAAACTCTCCAGGGTGGGTGGCAAGCTGGAGACCCAGGGAAGATTCGTGGTTCAAATCTAAAGACCACCTCTGCAGAATTGCTTCTTTCTCAGGGGGAGTCCATTTTTGTTCTATTCAGGTCTTAAACTGATCAGCTGAGGTCCACCCACACTAGGGAGGACAATGTGCTTTACTCAAATCCACTAATTTAAGTGTCAATCTCACCACAATCACCCTTATGGAAACATCTAGAAATGGAATAGGAGTATTCAAAAGTATAAGACATTACCTCTGCTTAAGCACATAAGCTGTGTATGCACACACCCGCATGCACACCTGCATGCACACCTGCTCACACACCTGCACCCACACCTGCACGCACACCTGCTCACACACCTGCATGCACACCTGCTCACACACCTGCATGCACACCTGCTCACACACCTGCACACACCTGCATGCACACCTGCATGCACACCTGCTCACACACCTGCACGCACACACCTGCACACACACCTGCTCGCACACCTGCTCACACACCTGCATGCACACACCTGCATGCACACCTGTGCACACACCTGCAGGCACAGACACACTGCATCCTATGAGATTCTGGGACTATGGTATTAACAATTTCTTGGCACCAATTTTCAAACCCTTTTATGAAATCATGGTAATATCAGAAGATAGTTCTGCTTTGTTTGCTTTAAAATCCTTATTAGCCAAATTGAATGTATCAACTTCTTTCATTCCCCTAAATTTGGAAGATTTCACTGGCCTGTGAAATCCAGAAATACCCAACACCCCACAGTTCTGTAGTGCTCACAAATGTCCGCACTCCTGCTTCTCACCCTGAGTTATTCAGGAACCTCATTCCAAAAATACGTATTCAATTGGTGCCGTGTGTCAGGCACCATTCAAGGTGCTTATTAAAAATCAGTGAAAGCAAAATAAAACACACATCCCAGCCCTATGGACAGTGAGGGGGTGGCATGTTCAGAAAATAAACAAACACGTAGAATATCAAACAGTGATCGGGGCCGGGCGCACAGAGGGGCAGGGAGAACGGGCGGGGTGTTGTATAGAAGGACCCAGAGAACCTGCTGGCAGGATGCCGTGCAGAGAGCTGCTCGTGGGAGTCACCACACACACCAAGCCCGTCCCACAGCTGTGCTCGAACCTGCAGGCTGGGCAGGGGCCCCCGGGTTAACACTGAAAGGTCCAGTTAAAGCAAGGGCCAGTACAGCCCAAAGTGAAATGAAACATGGTCAGTTTTGGTTCGTGTAGGCTAGACTACGCAAATAAATTCAAATTAACAACAAATAACTCATTTTGACATCGTGTTCCTCATCAGCAGCTGGTCAGAGCTCACCCCTGGAGTATATTTTGGGAACAAACAGAACTATCGATAGGTACCATCTTCTTATATTCCTGGGCATGCCTGCATTGCCGTAGACCTTTAATCCTATCCTGGGTACAATCTATTAATTTAATCAGTAAACCCATTGGAATTGCTGGAATTTGAAGGTAAATGCTTTGAGAAGTTAGCTTGATCATAGTCAACTAAGTACTAGCTCATAGTCCATTTATCAATCTATTTCCTGATAAAATATTGCCTCCCAAGGCCAATATTGTCTTTAGTATAAATAAATAAATGATTACAGAAGGCTTAAAATCAAACAAATTGGCAGTGATTGGATTACACTAAAGATTTATAGACCTATAGAATGCATCCATGCAAAGATATCAATCAGTGCCTGTTAGGAGAACAACATCCAATAGGCTACGTGCACTGAGGATTATTTTTATAGACTGCATCCAGCAGCCCCCAGCATCAAAAGCTTTAAATTTAATTAAAAAAAAAAAAAGTTAACAGAATGCCACAAATTGTTGACAGCAGTTTTCATTCTTAGATTTGACATATGCAATCACATGGGTACATTCTCCTTCTGCTAGAAGAAAACGTTTGCTTTTGATTGTAAAGCAAGTAATCAATGCGTTACTCATGCACCGCAGCAGATTAAAGACAGCCTCAACCTTGGAGAGAAACCTGCAAACCAGTATGGGACATGATATTCGCATGTCAGATAATAAAATATAGAACACAGGCCTGGGCACAGTGGCTCACACCTGTAATCCCAGCACTTTGGGGGGCCAAGGAGGGAAGATCTCTAGAGGCCAGGAGGTTGAGACCAGCCTGGGCAATGTAGTGAGACACCGTCTCTTAAAAAATGGAAAAAAAATTATCCGAGTGTGGTGGTGCACACCTGTAGTCCCAGCTACTTAGGA